TATTGATAAAGTATTGTGTAAAAAAAAAATATTTGACCATGACAATTATGTATTTGTAACATGACAAGGGCACGGACACGAGTCCGTGGAGAAATTCAATTTATTATTTATTAAAAAAAAAACGTTACCAATAAAATCACTATCACATTTACAACTTTAGGTTCTTTATGTAATTTTATAATTATGCATTCAAACGGGCCAAACGTCGGCCCATCAAAATATAAAGAAACTAACTTAATCCATACAAACCTTCTTAAGCTCCAACGATTCTATACACATGTATCACAATTGGGTACTTATCAAATAGTCAAATTCAATACTTTTTTCGGACTGTCAAAAACGACAGTTTTCTATGAGAAACTATGAGAAACGAGATTGTGTATTGTGACGTCACGTTTTTTAGCGTCAAACAGCGTACTTATTTCTTTGAAAGTTGCTCCAAAAATACTAAAATTAAGTTACTCATAAAATATTTTTTAATATTTTATTGTATTGAACAGTCGAAATAATTTATTTTTGATAAAGGCAAGTACCCAATTCCATTCACACAATCTTCCTTCCTTTCACACACCTGCACTTATAGAAAGTCATGATTGCATTCCTGAACGTCTCTTAGGAACCCCATCGAAGTAACATCAGCCAATAATTCCCTAGTGCCAGCTACTGCCACTGCATACTGTATTAGGACACCATGTATAGCATCTGCAGTAAGAGCCAAGTTTCCGGCTATTGTACGAGGACAGCACATTAAGGTTTATACGACCAGTATACGCTAGACTCAATTTTAAAGAATTTTCGTTCGCTTGGAGGTCATGTTATTCTGGTCCTGTAACATACATCACCAGTATAAGTTGGACTCGGATTATAAAGTGTTTTCGTTCTGTTAGGGGTCATGTTGTTTTGGTCATATTTTAGTCTGATGTGCTGTGGTCCTTCCAAGCTTTCTTGGACTCTCCATTAGTTCCGCTAAAGAATTTTCTGGAAATTATTTGTTTGTCTTTCTGTGTATTTCTTTTTCGTATGTTGTAAAACATTTAAGCTGTTTCTCTGCCTATCCCTTCAGAAATTGAAAGGTTTGATGTTATTTATATAAGGTAAAAAAAGTCGTTATATTAATAAAAATACCTAAACAAAATCTGAATCATAACTGAAGAGTTTACGCAAATGCATTTTCAGAAAAAAGTCTATATTTCCAATGAAAAAATATGATTTGGCAATTCTGATTCAATTCTTATCGATTGTGACGCAATATGTTGTCGTAGATAATTAACACATCACTTTCACAAACACATAAAAAAAATAAACTATTTTAAATAAATCAAATAAAAAGAGGAATTAAATATAAGTCCACACAAAAAAATACATTAAAAAGGAAATAAGTCCTTATATTTAAAAACACTACAAATATTATTAGTAAAGGATTTATTGATTCATAAAACATTAATCATCGCACCGTACGTGGATTGAGGCACGCAGTTCCGTTGCGTATGCGCATCCTACACATAAACGCTATGTTGTTGACCTACCGGCCGACAGCTATTAAATATTACAAGGCAAACTCATTATTATTAATTTTCCTACATAACTAATTACTTCACACTTCTTTTAGGTGTTTAGCCGACTTCTAAAAAGGAAGTTCTGTATTTGGATAGACTTTTTATGTATGTTTATCGATTTCTCTACCGATTCCATTAATGACCAGATTACTATTAAGACAGTCAGAATTCAAGAACAAATAATGATTATTATTATGACACATATATACATACACATAATGTTATCATTTAGCAAAAAATCGGGATTCTCTTACGTAAAGTTATGAAATTTTAACAAGGGTTTACCCCAAAAGGAGTGGTACATAAGTACAGACGCAATTAAAAAGTAAATAATGGTTTTATTTTATTATTAAAGTGATTATTAGATATACCTTGGTTAAACTGGTTTGCCCTCATTTTGCGGCAGTTTTGTAGATAAAATATAATTAAGGCTTTGAATGCCAATAGAAACTGTTGAAGGCAATTTTTTTATGAGATGAGCAGGTAAACGAGCTGACGGATCACCTGATGGTAAGCAATCGGCGTCGCCCATGGACACCGGGAACGCCAGAGACGTTACAAGTGCGTTACCAGCCTTTTGGGGATTAGGAGTTTGAGGATCGCTGGGGACTCAGGGATTGGGGAGATGGCGGATAATTGGGCCTCCGGTAACCTCACTCACACGACGAAACACAACGCAAGCTGCGTTGCTTCACGTCGGTTTTCTGTGAGGCCGTGGTATCACTCCGGTCGAGCCGGCCCATTCGTGCCGAAGCATGGCTCTCACACACTTAAATACTCCGCTAACGTCGATCACCGGTCACCCCATGGCGTTTAACGTGTTAATCTCAATATTATAGGAAAATGAAGACTATTATGAAATCAAAGACACTTTATTCCTACTACTTTGGAACATGTAATAGCATTTTACTGCCTTGTTTAATAGTCGCACTGGCTACTAGATCAACACATATAGAGAGACAGTCAAACTAATCATTATTCAGATTATTCTACATGCTCATTATTTATTCAGACAAAAATAGCATGACTCAATAGCCTATTTCCGTCCGTTACTGGACGTAGCCTGCAAATATGACGTCTAAGTTAGGCTTCCGACCGCCTGCGAAGTAGATATTGCCTTACATCCGTTCTTATTACGATATTTTAAAAATATCAAGCAATGGACTTTAAAATTAAACGTAAAAATATCACATTCCACAAGCTACAGTTCTAGATGACCTATTTGTCAATATAACCATTGTTAAAGACTTTAAAACGTACTTTTTGGCTATCCAAACCCCATTTCTGAAGGATCAAATTGAGAGCTACAAGCAAAAATAAAACTTCTGATAAAGACATTAAAGCACTTAAATCATTCATCGGCTATAATATCTCTAATATAGGTCTTATATTCGTTGATACAACAATTGCTTTTTTTTTTAAGGGGGGAAAATCATCGAATGACTGCTCCCGCCTGGGTGAGGCGGAAGGGATTTTCAGACTCTTACTGACTAAAAACCACCCCGTTCCTTCTCCTGCACGTCGAGCCGGAGCCCCGGTTACCCGTTAGGTTCTCCGCGACATACAACAATTGCTTAAGACTTTTATACGTACTTTTCTACAGTCAAACCCTATTTTTGAAGCAGTAAATTAATAGCTACAAGCAATAATGAAACTTCTGATAAAGACATTAAAGCACTTAATCATTCATCGTTATGTAGGAATGCCATCTGCATCCCACACATTGACACCACAATGTCAACAAGCATTGATTTCGTTTGTATTTCCAGAATCGTTTACTGACTCAGCCATTGTAATATTGTTACACGCATCGAACGCATCCGTTGATTCAGTCTAAGTACTAGTCCTTTCTATATCTTCCTGTAAGTCCTTACTTAGTCTGGACTTTTAGTTTTATTGTTCAATGTACTTATTACTAGTTTCCTCTACACTATGATCAGTTGCATAGTTATTGTTACCAGGATAATAATTCTTATATTTTGGAATTCTTTGAATTGATACTATGAATCACTTTTAGCTGCGTCAGGAGCTAGAAAGGCGGAAAGCAGTAAATAAAGAAGTAGGAAATGTATTACAAAACGAATCACTACTTGAATTCATTTACTGGTTATCAAAATCCAAAGAAAATACCTTGAAATATGATGAACTACTTAAGTATGATAACCCAAACGAACATAAACGTAAGAAAACTGCAAAACTAAAGAAAACATTTTACTGCATCATTTTTAAAAGTTAAAAGTACCTACGTCTTTTAAATCACCCCTCGCGAAGTCGTCCCTATCTGCATACTACATCAGTACATTAGCATGCCTATACGCACATATCAACGTCCTGCCAAGCTTCCTGAGCCAGCATTTAGTATGCAACGCTATTCTGTGACATCCGATATCTGTGCCTTCTATAATACCTTCTCCATGCTTTATGACTATCGAAAGACCAACAGCCATCAACGGCCTGAGACATTTCGTAACCATCTGTCAGTCTAAATTGAATTTTGAAGCTCTATCGTTTAGGTCTTTTTCATCTTTGTCAAGTTTGTTAGCTACTTGAATAGTCTCTGTAAAGAGGTCACGATTCGGTACCCTAAAATGGCAGTAGAGACATCAAGCTCGGATTTCGCTAGATTTTTTTGTGTTATCAAAACAAAGGCAGGAAAACATAAAACTATTCTTTCCGTTGACTTTAAAATACAAGCGAATGCCCTCGTAAGATCTGTATCTGTTTACAAAAACGATTTCCGCTCGAAAAGTGCAATAATCTCTTAAATTACATTTAAAACAGGAAAAAAGTGATTAAAATCTACGCCAAATATCCACAGATACCGTTATAGTTATACAAATTATTGTAAAGGACAAAAACACCGTTTAATTAATGGCGGCGCTTCGATATAATGACCCGCGATTTCCCGACCACTGCCCTCAATTCAACTAATTGCAGAGAATCCACAAAATGACGACAGAAATTGATAAAAATTGCCCCATTTAGGGTCAGACTCGTTTAAATGGTTAAAGTTCATTAAGCTGATCGCATAGAATGTGGCGACACCATTTCTTTTTTCACTAACAACAATTTAATTTTATGAAAATAAGGAAGAATGTATTAAACAGAAAAAGAGTTATAAATATTTTTAATACACTTAACAACTCTGTTTGAGTCATCGAAGTAGTCACTCCATCTTTATCTATGGTTCCTGTAGACGTTTCGCATGATTGATTGCGTAGGCGCGTTTGTTATGCACTTTTCATTTCAACAACGTTTAGTATATGAATAGCTAACGGATGCGACGGACGTGTACACTGCTCTCGGATTAATACTAATGAACTTTAAGCTGTCGCGTCGCATTATAATAAGTAGTGTTTGAGGATCTAAAGCTCATTACTAAATTCTTCTAGCATCGATAAAGTCGAGTGTTTTAATGTGAATAAAAAGTGATTAAAATTCAAAATGGTGATGGAATCTGGACAACAGAATGGACGGTTTTGGCCGCTCTCGCCCCGTCTTTGGCGTCGAAGTAATGAGTACTCCAAAGTGGTGTTTGAACCTCGAAGACCTCCACTGTCTCCTATTGAGATGAGGAGACATGATAAGTTAGATGTGACTCCTGATTTGTTGCGAACAAAGAGTTTTATCAAAGATAGATTGGATCACTTGAATTTGGAGGAAAGGATCATAGACGAGCGAAGATGGAGTGTGGATTCCAAGAAGCCTCCATTGAGAGAAGCGAAGAAGAAAGTTGAAGAAGATGTAGTGAAATTGAGAGTGAAGAAGCAAAGGCAGCCACGACCGAACAGTTTGCAGCTGTTACTTTGTCCATCCAGTTCTGGACATTATAGCAGCAATACTTGGAGATATACCAGGGTCCGGTCTAAAAGGTGCGTAGTAGATGTTATTGAACTCATTTTTATTTAATGTTTTGGAAAACAATAACATTTATTTAGAATAATCTCGACAGAGACTCATACGTAATTTTTATAATTTTACTATTTGATTTTTCAGGATTACTATTTATTTGTTATGAAAACTTTTTAGTTGTTAAATATAGGTTACCTATATTTAAAAGTACTGAATACTACAAAATTTAACAGTATCTTACATAAAGTGTTCAAATAGGAGACTGAAACATATCTTCACTATCGCATACATCGAAATCATCAGAAATTCTAAGATTAAATTAATTATTTTATTGTGCAATAAACAAAACACTGTCGCTCATTCTCCATTCAACCAATATCAAACTTTATGACGTTATTTTGAATTTGGATCGACATTGTGTTTATGGTTTTCGAGCGCCAACAAAACCTTTTTGGTGGCTTTAGAGATGCGAGTCTCTTGTCATTTAAGCCTACGTACCGAAGTGGGCACAATTGTGAATTCAAGGTGTCCAACCTAAATAATATGTGATGCAAGACCAACACCTGTGTGGTTTAAAATGAGTTATAAAAATTCTATTAGCAATGTTGTTCTTACCTTTTAAGGGCCTAAGAATTCCGTCAGTTTAAAGTTTCGAGTTAATATTTATTTTATTACTTGTATCGTAATTCTTTATTAACTGAAATCGAAATCTTTTTATTAAGGTTATTTATGAGAGCAAACGATGCTATTTTATTATTATTATCGCGTAAATCAATGGTGATTCTGATTATAGATGATTACAGATTTAGTCTGTCTGGATTCATGCCTGGGTGAATATTGAACAATAGCCTCATTCTTCATTATTTTAGATGTTTCAATAATAGAAATCAATTTGGTTATGACTCGATTCTATAAAAATAGTCGTGTAGCTTGACAGAAGCTTCATAAATCAGACAGCGAATCTATTCAAGTAGTCCTTATAGGGTTGTGAAGAGCCGAAGACTAGCAAGATCACTTTATGTCAAAGTTTTAGATTTAATTGAATTTGGTCAAGATTTAAAACCGACCAAAAATGGTCAAGAGAAAATCTACCCTATACCGTTCGTGCATTAACTCGTCGAGTACCGGTTTTATAGACACAATTAAAGAACAATAGGTCGCGGTCACCGGTGACCGCTTGGTGTTTGACAGTTTAAGTGCAATTTCAAACATAAGCATATCCCGTGACAGATGTCTTTCGTTTTATAAGTGCATAGAACTTGTTAATACCCACTGATTAAACTCAACGTGTCTAATAATGACTAACTAATGATCCACATAATTTGATCTAAACTGACAATTAGTTTTCTCTTTCGCCGACGCGCGACGTAGCATTAACTGTTAATCAAGTTTTGTCCAATTAATATCGAGAGATCAGCTTTCTTGTCTATTTGAAGTTAATTAGCACTGCATTGACCGTGTCTTTGCCGCTTTGAATGATAGCTAGTTTGACTGTCGAGATGTCTGGTTCGACCCTGACCTTCAAATATTGTAAGTAGTAAGTATCTATTTGAATTTTCAATTTTCTTAAGGCTTTGACTGCCAATTAAAAACTGTTGAAGGCAAATCCTCGGCTAACGCCGGTCACCGGTGACTGCCATGGCGTTTAACGTGTTAATAGGTTGATACTTAGCTGTAAAATTTGAATCGTCTCCAGTGTGTGTTCTAATTTTAAGTTCCTTAGTAAATACCATTTGGAATGGTGCTCGATGTACAACAGTAGATTTACATGGAGGGTCTTATATGGGACCCATAGCATTACTAGCAAAAACTGTGTTATACTTCGTTAGAGTTTGCACGGTTGGCGCGGTGGCTGGGCAACCGGCTGCCGTGCGACGTGTCGCGGGTTCGATTCCCGCACGGTACAACACTTTGTGTGATCCACAAATTGTTGTTTCGGACACCCAGACCCGAGTCTGGGTGTCATTGTGTATGTGAACTTGTATGTTTGTAAACGCACCCACGACACGAGAGAAAATCCTAATGTAGGGCAACGTTTGTTTAAAAAAAAAAAGAGTATCTAACCTTTACCTTCTCCCTATCTAATAACAGAAGCAATTTCAATCTAGGTGACTCCTAAACTTTAACACGTGTTTGATCTGAACATCTACCGAAGATTTCAAGGAATAAAAGTGTTCAGAAACTCCCAAAACTTCGTTTTCTTCCGATTTCATTAGTCGGTCACTCATGTGTTGTTATGTGACAACTTACGCCATATTTTCAGTGGGTGTATCGTAGGTGTAGCGATGTTGTCAACACCCCGACGTGTGTCGCTTATCGCTAACTTCGGCCCTTTAATGTTAAGCAACTTCTTGTCCAATATAATCTTACAACTTTCTGATATAACTTGTGTTTTATTAAGTGGTTGGAAGGCTTCGTTAATTATGTTTTTAAGTGCTTTTAGTTGTTACTTGCTTAATTATATCTATTGATTTTCTTCTTAAATTCACTAAATTAGAATAAATTCCTTCATTTCATTCTATTCATTCATTTCACTTAATTAAAATCAATTCATTTCATTTACAAGCTTAGCCCCATGATTTTCTATTAATGTAGTCAAAGGTAAATCGTAGGTAGAATGCATATCTTCACACTTCGTACACAAAAGCCGTTCCGCATTTGTTATATTAGTAAAGATTGTAATTTGTTTTATTGATTTATTATTTATAACTCCTTTATATCGAAAGTGAAAACATAATTTTATTATACTTAATGTAATACTGTCGGTGGCCGAGTGGTCGCAAGTGCGATCCTCGATCGGGCAAAGTACTACTAGGTTTTGTTGCAAGGAGTCTAGTTGTGCCCGGTATATGGTAATAGGCTCGCCCCATATTACATGGGACTCATAACATAAATAGTGAAAAGTGGGTGCTACGTACAGTGGCATTAAGTGGCATAATGTGCACCTCTGACTGCCTTCGGGGATAAAAGGCGGGATGTTATGTTATGTTAATTTAATATTGTTACTGACATAATTTAAATAGAGTAATGATTAGTAAATGTAATTTCGCCAACTTTATAGCTTTTAAAGCCATTTCCTGATTTATATTAGCGGTTAAACATAAGCTATTAAAATTTATTACTGTCTTAAATATAACAATCATTGACTTCATGGTTTTCGTTATGTACAGGTACTGATTATGATTAGTGTAGGGCGTAGGCGAAATAATAGTTTCTAGTGTTGGGCTTTTGGTATCTGTAAAGTTATAGCGGAAACCAAAATTATCGGCTTAGACAATCTGTAAGAGTCTGATTATTTTAAAAAATGTTAGTATAATGTTTCAAAAAATAAAACCCTAATAAACGCTGAAACCTTCTTCTGGTAGACTAGTAACCACACGTCTGTAGAGTGTTTTTATGGGATAAGCCGGTAAACGAGCAGACGTATCACCTGATGGTAAGCAATCGACGCCACCCATGGACACCTGGAACGCCACAGGCCTTTTGGAGATTTTGGGAATTAGGAGTTTGAGAATTGGTGGGAAGTCCAGCTTAGGAATATTAATGAAATTCTAACTACAAAATATTAAATGTCTACCTCAACTAAGTGTAGATAATAGCGCGTTTTGTTATTAAATTCAGAGACCTTGTCACACTTCTCTAAATCTCTAGAGATTATTAAAAATATCAAAACAACGCACCATAATCATAACAAATTGCTTTACGAAAATAAAGAGAGAAAATTCGGCCGAAACCAGAGCTTATTAATCGGCTTTCGGCTTGGACAAAACAATATTCTTCTCAACACTAATTTGTTAATAAACTGCGACAGTTTTTTTATAAGCTTCAAGGCCAATGGGATTATAATATTTTATTATATTTAATTAAGAGTACCTCGTTGGTCGAGTGGGTAAAACTGCGACTGCTCGGCAAGAGGTCTCGGGTTCGATTCGATTACTAGATTCAACATATTGGACATGTTTTGATTTTTTTGAAAATTCGCAATATGTGTTCGGAATCTAGAATTATGTCCTATATGAAGTCAATAGACTCATTATATAGGATTGTGTGAAAGTGAGTTGTCATGATAATCTCCATCTTGGACTATGTCTTCGGGGTTTAAAGTCGTGACTATGTAAATTATGTTATAATTTAATTATAAGACAGTCTGTCCTGTTTAGCATAATACAACAAGCCACGGCGCCCATAAATGAATATGTAAAACATGGAGTATTGATTTATTGTGTATCTCCTTTAAAAGGACTATTCATAAAATATAAAACGTTTAATTAAGACAGCTAGATGTGTTCATGTGATATGCAAAAATATTGGAAATTAATGTCTGTAATATTTTTACGTTTTCAGGGATTTTTATAGCTTGTATTTATTTGGAGGTTGGATGCGTACGGAAACAAAATACTGAGTGCCAACCACGAATAACTATAGCATTCGTACCATAAGAGTATCAAGCACGTTCGGCGCTCAGTGGGCTTAGTACGAGTTTGTTAGTTACGCATTCGGCGCTCTAATTGGCCGGCTCCCATAAACCAGCCAATCAGAGTACCGGACGCGGTCTCGTTTCGATTACTTTTAACGTAAAACAAACTCGTACTATTTTTTTAGAAGAATTATGTGTGCTTTTCAACTAAATCTATTGCACTCGGCTAAATATGATTGAAAATATAACGGACTACATAAAATTAACATTAATTAATATCTTAAACATTCAAACCATACTTAGGTACATATCGAACTATGCAGAACCAGTATAAACTGAACGTTGAATGTCCGGATAAACTATAAAAAGCGAGGCCATAGTAAACTAGTTTTTTATTGCTTGATATGTAGTCATATTTATACTGCTCAGTACTCAACAGTAACATAAATAATTACAACCTGATGTCTTGTCATAAAAATCATTGACACTATACGTAGGCTGCATACAAATATCCTAGGAACATTATATTATGTCCTAGTGTCAACGTCTTATGCCATATGTCAAGGTATGCGCATGATTCACCCTAATTATAACGGGCGTCGG